GATGGAGAAGAATTCAAAAAGTAGAGATGAAATTGTTAAACTGTCGCCATAAGTGACGTTTAGGGTAAGAGTTAGGTAAATCTCCCATGTCTCATCAGTCTCTGAGGGTATTACTGAATTACAGAATATACTCTTTCATGTCCATAGTTCACAGCCTAAGTGATCACACAAAGGTCTGGTTATATTCATTATATTGTGTATGAGGTGACAGGTATGTATGCAGTGCTTGCTAGGAATAATTCCTTCAAAAATGATTATGATTTTTAAAGTTTTTACTTCAGGGATGAGATTTAGTTATAAAGAAAATTAACTTCTATAAAATATCTCATTATTCAATATGTCAGATAAATGAGATATTATGTACATAATCCTAACATAAAAGAAATTCTCTGTTCTCTAATTATGTAAGAAAAGGGGAATATTGATTTGGGTGCTTTCTATTTCAGTTGAAAAGCAGATAAAGCAGATAGCATTTCAGGGGCCTTACAATTTCTTTAAGAGCTTCTGCAGCACATTATTTGCACAGAAGATTTTTTTGTGAGGATTAAATGATTGCTTAGCAGAGTGCCTGGAACATAATATTTCCTTTATCATTATCATTACTGTGATTGTATTCACTTTTTTCTCCCCGTAAATTTTCTATGTATTAGATTTTCTCTATGCATCTTACACTTCTTAGTTTTAATTCACTTGCACTTTTGTGTGTCAAGTTTAAATGGCATTGAATTAAATACTTTCTCTAAGTATTCTCAGAGTTTCCATAGATGGTCCCACTTGAAACAAAGAATGGATACCAGCTACCACACTTTTTTTGTGTATCCTACAGTGATATATCATGTAAAACAAAGACTCTTCTTCCAAAATTTAGACATAAGGGGAATGGACCTGCTTCAGAAAGATAAACTGGGTAAAGTCCCCTTCAATAGATAATGGAACATAGTAGTGACTTTATTAAAAGTATTAGGCATGCTGGTGGTGTAGTGCCTAAGACATGTGACTGCTAACCAGAAGGCTGGTGGTTCAAACCCACCAGCCACTCCTCAGAAGGAAGGTTGGGCAATCTACTTCTGTAGTGATACTGCCTCATATTAGCTTATTTAAATAAAGGAAAGGTTAATCATAAGAGAATGTATTAATTAAAATCTAATTGGTAAAACAAAAGATGCTAGATATTTAACACAGAGGTTATTCAATATAAGAAATTAGTTACAAATATCTTGGAATGGTTAAAGGAGAAAGGCAAGGGTTCTAGGAGAACTGAAAGGATGATTGTCAGAGTGGCTGAATTCCCAGCCCAGGAGGCTGCCTCTTCTGTTTCCATGGTGGGACCATTCAGAGATGTTGCCCAATTGGAGGTGAAGCACCAATGAGATGCACTGCTGAAAGCCCTGCCTCCTGGCCTGCTTATATCCACACTCACTTTGCCCTTCTGTTGACATAACAACCAACTGCAAAGGCCTCAGTTTCCGAAGCTAGAAGCTGAAAGCATTGTCTTTCTTCCAGCTTCTGCCATTCTAATGTTGCATCCCCTTGGTTAAACCTAAGAGGAAGAAGAAGCAAGAAAGCTGGAAATGCAATTTGTAGGTTCACAGGTTCAGTCGTACAAGGCAGCGTGCAGGATATAGATGTGGGACTTAATAAGATGAATAAGAATCAGAGCCTACCCCTTAGCTATCCAGTATCAGCACATCCTTCTACCTATATTTTAGTTTCACTAGCAACATTAACCACTGTATGCTTCCACCTGACATAATACTGTGATGCCTTGTGCAAGTGAAGATGTTTTTACCCTCAATTACTTTATTCATATCTGGGTGATTGGGATTCCCCTTCAGTTTAGACATAAGCCTCCTAAATATTCTGTGACTTAATGATGAAACTGTGAATCAGTATCTACTAACTTTTAAAAAACAAAGTAATAGGGAAAGAGAGGAGAGAAAATCGATTAGCAGATACAAATGTACATATAATAATCAAGAAATAAAATATACATAATATCTATTATTCTCATTTCTGTAATGAAACATAAGGCCATGGTTGATATTTCTAACTTTTATCTTTGATAATATCTCACTCTGTAGCTCATATGATTAGGATAGTTTCCTATGAGACAACTCCAACTTTCATTACTAGAAAGATCTGTGTCTTTAGTGGCCATGGCCTCACTGGGATGCTGTAGCCTTTTAATGCTTGTGTGATTGTTGCTGTTAGTTGTCACTGAGTCAGCTCTGACTCATGGTGATCCCATGGATGGTAGAACAAAACATTGCCAGGTCCTGCACTGTATTCATGATCTTTGGTATGTTTGAGTCCATTGTTGAAGCTGTTGTTTCAATTCATCTCATTGTGAGTTTCCTCATTTTTGTGGATCCTCTGCCTGATATGATGTCTTTTCTAACAATTGTTCTTTCATGATGATGTAACCAAAAGTACATAAGTTGAAGTCTGACCATCCTTGCTGCTATGGAACATTCTGGTTGTATTTCTTCAAAGACGTACTTGTTCATTTTTGTTTGCTTGTTTAGTTTTTGGTAGGCCATAGTATATTTGGTATTCTTTGCCAACACCACATTTCAAATGCTTCAATTCTTAGGGACCCTATAATCTCTCAGCAAAGTCAGGCAATTAAACAAAAAATAATAATAATATGATAAGTGGAGAAGTGCTATGATGGAGAAGTCCTGTGAGCTATAGGTGAAGCTCTCCAACTTCTACCTGGAAGAACACTTACCTTACAGAAGAACATTTAAGATAATTACTGAAGGACACACTAGGTATCCCACTGTGTAATTAAATGTATTTTGAAAAGTCTTCTAATTTAGTATCCCAGTAAAGTTTTGTTTCCCACAATATAATGTTTAGTCAGTTGGAACATTTCAATATTTGTTGGCTCCAACTCATAGCAACCCCTCCTCGGATTTCCGAGGCAGTATCACTATGGAAGTAGATCACCCAACCTTCCTTCTGAGGAGTGGCTGGTGGGCTTGAACTGCCAGCCTTCTGGTTAGCATTCAATGCCTTAGGCACTATGCCATCAGAGCTTCTTATATTTATAATGAATATAGACCCTTGGTTATAGAGACCCCTATCTTCTTCTTGATTATAAAGTTTTTATTGTGCACCCATTTTCACCTTCCTTTTCCAGGTTGTTCCTCACCCATTAACATAAAATCACTGCCCCCTAAGTTTCCTAACTAATATTTTGACTTGCTGTTGTCACTTTGATCCCATGTTTATAGTTCTTAAAAGAGCACAATTCTCAAAGCAGACTTTTTTTACTTGTTAAGCTGAACTATCAGGGATATTTTTGGTTTGTGTTTTAAAGATTATCTCAGGACAGTAGTTTCAGGGTTTCATCCATCTTCCATGACGCCATGAAGTCTGGAGTCCATGATAATTTTCAATTCTGTTCTACATTTTCCCCCTTTTCATCACAATTCTTCTATGGAAACTTTGATCAAAATATTCAGTAATAGTTACTGGGTACCCTCTAGCTCTTCTGATCTCATAGTAAAAGAAGCAGTTGTTCATGGAGACAATTGGTTCCCCTCCTTCACTTATTGCTCAAGGTAAATAAAGACCAAGACTCATGCCTTGCATGACCACCTGCAAGTTTTTAAGAGCCCCGGCACTGCACAGTGAACTAGGAGGTAGAACAGAAACACTAAACAGATTATTAGGTCAATTAACTGGGATACACTGTGAAACAATTACCCTAAACCTCCAAACTAAGGAATCAGATCTCTTGAGGAGTGTGAGAATGGTTGTACGAACTGAAAAGAATGTAATCAATGTTACTGAAGTTGTACATGTAGAAATGGTTGAATTGGTGTATGTTTTCCTGTGTATGTGCTCAACAACAACAGAATAATAATAATAATGTTGTTGTTGTTATGTGCTGTTGAGTCAGACCTGACTCATAGCGACCCCTCCTTGGGTTTCCAAGGCAGTATCACTATGGAAGTGGATTGCTCAACCTTCCTTCCAAGGAGTGGCTGGTGAGTTTGAACCACCAGCCTTCTGGTTACCAGTCAGGTGCCTTAGGCACTACGCTACCAGAGCTCCCAATAATAATTGTAAAACCTAAAAAAGTTTTAATTGAATAATATAAATGACTATATTCAATAACCGTTTAAAATTCTTATATACCTACTACTTGATTTTGTGAACATACACATAATGTTTCTTTCAAAATAAGTTTTAATTCATCATTAAAACCAGTAAGTCATAGCGTCTCTAACCATTTCTTGAGTGCCTCATGAATGTTATGTGTACAGTTAGCTCAAAGGTATATGTGGAGGCAATTTGATGCTGTACTTGAAGGCATGTGCTCTGAAGACAGACCACCTACATTCAAATCCTGACTCAAACTCTTGATTGCTGTGTGACCTTTAGCAAGTCATCCAATCTCTCTATGGCTTATTTTCCTCATCTATAAAATGATGTTAATAATACTGCCTTCATTATAGGATTTTTGGAAGGAAAGGGTTAAATGAGTTAACACATGTAAGATAGTTAGAAAGGTAAGTAGGTAGCAACATAGAATGTTTTTACAAATAAGGTCATTTTATTTTTGAAGCTTATCTGTTGAGGGTATTTTTTTTATAAAGCAATAAATACTGTGAATTTTTTTAACTTACTCATTTTTGACATTTCTGATCTGGAATACAAATTACAGCGGTTATCATGGTGCAATTGAAAGACTCCCATGCTGGGATTTTTGAGTTCTGTTTCTGTCTTTATTACTAATTAGTGTAATAATTTGATATTCAAAAATTTCAAGCCTCTTTTATGCTTTGGAAAGAAGCAGAGTATAAAACTAAAAACAAAAACAAACAAACAAAAAAACCACTGTCATCATACAGACTAGGTAAAATACCAGATACCTTGATTCTGGGATTTCATTAAACTAGAAATAATATTGAGAAGTACTCACCATCTCAAGACATCCTTTTGGATTTCCTAGTAGTCATACTAAAAGCAAATTATTATCTTCCCAGGTGTTATAACAAGTTATGGATTATATCTAGATGGTATACTAATTCACAGTTCCTCAGAACTCAGCTGTCATGCTCATGGATTTGCTCCCTGGAGCCTACATTCCTTCCGAGTCCAGGCATGCACGGCCAAAGGTTGTGCAATGGGTCCACTGGTGAGTATGTGAATTTACATTCTGGGGATATATTAAATGTCAGATGATAATGAATATCAAGGAAGAAGTGTTAGTGACTCACACATTGAGCACAGCTAGCCTTTCAAGCAGAATGAAAGATTTTCTTTTTATAAATTTTTATTTAAGAGTTATTAAGGTTTTATATTTGACATAAATTTTAAGACTACACAAAGGCCTGGTGAAGGACAGAATATACATTTTACTGAAGGAACAGTCAGTTCACAAGTTTAGCAGGCACAGATACCATTTTGACCAATTTAGGGAAATATTTAAAGTGGCTATTTCCCTCACTAATAATACTAAAATATCAACAACTATGTGAGCTTATAAGGAGCTATGGTAGCATAGTGGCTAAAGCACTTGACTGCTAACCAGAAGGCTGGCGGTTCAAACCCACCAGCCACTCCTCGGAATGAAGGTTGGGCAATCCTACTTCCGTAGTGATACTGCCTCGGAAACCCAAGGAGGGGTTGCTATGAGTCGGGGCCGACTCGACAGCAAACAGCAACAACAACAACATGTGAGCTTATAATTAAAAGTGAAAAATAATTAAAAGTCCATAGCTGGGACAACATGACAACACTTCCCCTAAAAAGTAAGTTAATTGATTAAAAAATAGAGTTTTTCTTATGTATTATATCTCTGTAAATATTAAAACGTAAAAATGTCACTTTGTGAACTAAGGTGCACCTGACCCAAGCTGTGGCATTTTCAATCACCTCATATGCTTGTATAAAATCTGGGTAATAGATAGGGAAGACTAAAGAAGAATTAATGTCTTTGAATTATGGTGCTGGTGAGGAATATTGAATATTCTATAGACTGCCAGAAGAATGAACACATACATCTTGGAAGAAGTACAGCGAGAATGCATCCTAGAAGGAGGATGGTCACACTTCTTTTGAAGTACTTCAGACATGGTATCAGGAGGAACTAGTCCCTGGAAAAGGACATGCTTGCTAAAGTAGAGGGTCATCGTAAAATTGGTAGACCCTCAATAAGATGATTGATACAGTGGCTGCAACAGTGGGCTCAAACATAGCAATAATTAACTATGAGGATGGAGCAGGACTAAGCAGCATTTCATTCTGTTGTACATAGGGTCACTGTGAGTTGGAACTGAATTGAGTAGTGCCTAAGGCATTTGACTGCTAACCAGAAGGCTGGCAGTTCAAACCCACCAGCCACTTCTTGGAAGGAAGGTTGGGCAATCTACTTACATAGCCATACTGCCTCAGAAACCCAAGGAGGGGTCACTATGAGTCTGATCCGACTCAGTGTAGGGACTCAACAACAATACGACATTGTACTATAATATTTTTATTTCATTTATCTGATATGACTTTATAAGAATACTATTTAAAATATATTGATAACAGTTTTTGATATCCACTTTCAGAAATCTATAATTTATGCCTATAAATTCATTAGCACTTAAAAGACTTTTAAATTTTTATTTTTATTCTAAATATAATTTTAAATCCAATTAATATAATCATCCTAAACCAGCATGATAGTCTTTTATATCTAAATGCCACATTTTATTTTTTCTTGATTAAATGGATATAACTTCTTTTGAATACTTCTTTTAATAAAGCTTCTTTCAATACTAATTATTTTTAGATTTTTTTTTTTTTTTTGGCAGTGTTTGCTCATGCGCTACTGTTTTAATGCACTCAGTCTTCATTGAAGAGTGTATTATAAATATTATCTTGAAAAACAGCTCTAATTTTTAACTTTTGCTTCCTTATTGTTGATCACACCTCCAATTTTGTTTTACATATTGGTTGCTTTCCAAGCTGCTAACATCATCTATTGGTAGAGCTGAGCTGTAGTCTTTATTGCCATTAAGCATTTTATAGCCAGGACCCTTCTGATGGATACTTACTCTTAAAAGCAGGAATGGCTTTAGGCCAGATTTCTTTCCTCATTCAAAAAAAGAAAGAAGGAAACAAAAGAATTCCTTACATGGGTTTAACACTTAGACTTTTTCAAGAACTTAAACTGTAAATTGTGATTCTGGCTACTAAATTGGCTTCCACACTGTCTCCCAATGTTCTGACAACTCTAACAAGGGAGACTATAATCAGTCTGCTTCCTGCCCTGATGGTAGGTAACATTAACCTTAAAAAAATCAAATGCTATGGTGCCTTGATGGGAAGGGGAAAAACAGAATTGGATTGTAAAACCTACCCTGTCATACCGTTACACACATTCTTAACTCGGTCCTGACTTGAAGCACAGTTATTTTCTCCTCTTGGTACTTTTCTTTATCCTGCACTCAGTATGCAAGTGCTTTTCCCAAGTCAATGATCCATCTCTAATCACTGGGATTGAATAACAACATCCTTATTTAGAACAAGTCAACTATATGCTGCCAAGAAGCTAAAGCCTATGGTCTTCACTTGGTTTCTGAAATAATTTTGTAACAAGTACAGTAAATATTATGTCCCCGAAAGATTCTATATCTGAGTATTCTAAATAGGTATCAAAATCATGAAAGAGATTACAGCTCTTTTTCAGTGGTGATTTTAAAAAATATGTCCTTATTGATATGAGAAATCTATGAATCGATCTTAATAGCTAGGTTTCCTATCATGAAATTATACAGGATATTTAACAAAATTCAGTCAAATTTAACAGTGCTATATATGCATCTCTTAAAGGTATTTTTTTTTTTTTGTAAAAGCTCAATGTTAGACCATTGCCATTTCTTTCATATTTTTCATTTTATTGAAACAATAAAAAATTCATAAATTTTATTTTTTAAACTCTTGGTGGAGAAACAAAATGAAATTTTTGAGTCAATATTTCTGATGCACATAATATTGTTCTATAGTAATTCTTTGTTTTTAGAAAGAGAAATCTGTTATTTTTTTGTTAGTTTTAAGTTCTTTTATATATGTAATACCATTGTTATCCATGCATGTAGGAAAATATTATTCAATATTTTCTATGAAAAATATGCTTATACAGTCTTGCATGTGGTATAGTTTACCCTCAAAATTAACAAGTTGCTTGCTCACAGAATAAAAGGAAAACAAAAACATTAGGAACAGAAGAAAGTTTTGGCAAAATAAAAAAATCTTAAAAAGTACAAATATATACACAAATACCTATTCTTACCATTTTTATGTCATTTTAGCAAAATATGTTTTTTTCCCAAACATGGTTAAAATAATAATCAAATACTATTAATTGTTATTTATAATCCTGAAGGGGTTACTCTGTCTCCATCTTAAAGAAGATTCACTTAATGGTTTCATTTCTTGTTCAGTTAAAATAATCTATTTGACTTTTAAAGAAATTCCAACAAAAAAAATGTCCTTTGATCCTAATTTTAAGATGCTAATATGGATTGTCAAATTAAATCCAGTAACTGAGTTTTTAAATGCTTAAAATAATGAAATAAATTATTGCAGAATGTAACAGAAAATAACTGTTTAAGTGCTTTCCTTGCTATCATTTATATTGGAGAGAAACCTGTCAGTACTGTGCTTCTGTAATGAAACTTTGAATTTGTCCATAAACAAATCATTTCATCCCCCCCCCCCAATTAAGCTAATGTTAGATAACACTGGTTAAATCTAAGATAGGGAATTTTATGACTGTGTCTGGCCTTGGAACATTCATTGGATCAAGTTTTCGACTTGATGGCACATAACAACAACAACAACAACTTAAGGGTGAGGTGGGAATGTTCAGGTCACTGTTTTATGATATGATTAAAAAAGATATCTTGGTTTTTTTGGTGAGGGTGTACTTATGCAGATAAATACACACACTCATCCTTTCACTGTACTCATATTTTACAGGGAAACAAGTAATTTTGTTATTTTAAGACATCTAAATTTTAATGGCAATATATGTTATGGTAGAGAAAACCCTATGTGGAAAATCTGCCCTCAGCCTGCTATTACTTCCTATGCTTTTCTTTGGGAAATATACTTACTTTGCTTAGCATCCATTTTCTCAACTATCACACCAAAGGGAAAATAATGCCTACCTTAAAAGATTGGTGTCATAAATTAATGAAATATTATTTATACAGGGGTTTCTGATACATAGTAAAATTTTTACTAAGGATGAAAATTTTATGAGGAAAAACAAATCGTACATTTGTTCTCAATGAAATTTTTTGTCTATATCAAGGGAGATTGCCAGGTAAAACAAGCCCACTTTTACCTTCCCAGGTCTTTCCTTAGCATTCTTATTCAGGAAAAATAACTTATTTAAGGAAAAAAAAAAAAAGTCTAGGTCATAGTACTCAGAAGGAAGGTTGGGCAATCTACTTCCGTAGTGATACTGCCTGGGAAAACCCAAGGAGGGGTCGCTATGAGTCGGTCGATGGCACATAACAACAACAACAGGTCATAATAAAAGACAATTGTGAAATGTGTGCTTTATGCAATTACAGACAAAATAAGATCAGAAATTTGTGTTTGAGTCTCTTATTGAGTTTATTTTTATAATTAAAAACTTTCAAAAAGCTATTTATAAATAAAAGAACACATGTAGACCCATGATCATAGTGTTTTATCAGAAGATTATAATGAATCCAATTCTATTACCTTGTGTCCAAGTTTAAAAAATATTAAACACATTTTATATATTAATCAAACAGGCTGTTTCTACATCTACAAAGTAAGGTAGAGTGTTTATCCAGACACTTAAGGAAACTTAAAAACACATTTATTTTGAATTAACTATATATTTGAGAATAATGTATACAATAATCATATTATCTGTAATAGCGTTTAATTCTTTACTTCAACTTTTTTGATTCTAATTTTATTCAGAACCCTTTAAAACCACTTTTTATAGAGTAATTTTAACTGTACACATAGACATAATGAAACCAACTGCATCATTATGCAATATTAAAATGATGAATTGATGTTTTTCCAGTCACATTTTGTACATAGCCATTAGACTAAAAACAGAATAGGTATTATAGATCTCAAGAACCCTAGTGCCTTTCTCAGATAGAAATAAAGCATGTCATGACCTCATACTTATTAAAAATTAACACTCTGTCTTTTTCACATTTATTTTCATAATTGGGAAAGTGTATTCACCATAACAAATAAAGGTTTAATAATTGAGAATATTTGCCTGCAAAGGATTGCACATCTGGTCACCTTCTTGTAAGGCATGAGTTTATACTTTAAGGTCAAAATTATCAACATATTCAATAAATCTTAAAAGGTCAAACATTTATGAATGATGCTTAGGAGTTCGTGGTAATGAGTTAACCAAGTTTAAACTAGTGATTAAAAGATAGTAAAATTTCCTGCAGCCTTTGCTGCTTTCTTGCCAACTTCATCTTCTTCTAGTCACTTAGTCATTTTACCTATTTTGCTACTGAAATCTTTTGGCCACTGTGCAATTAGGGACTACATTTTATTTCAGAGCACTTCAAATAATTCATCTTTTGCTGTTTTCTCCATAGATTCATTAACACTGTATTAATGAAGCTTTTCAACCTTTTTAAAAAATGATTATATCTTGGGATTAAATCACTCAGGTGTGTTTATTTCTTGATCTCTGGCATGATGCCAACTTTACATACCTTGAGCAAAAATGCTCAGGCAACTGTTTTAATGTGCGTGCCTCGAGATGGTCTGAGTGTGGCCTTTTAACAAAGCCCAGAAGTCTGTCACTTCAGACAGGAACATATGATAACGGACTTGATGTATTCCTTCTCTTCTGCAATCACATCAAAATTATTGTTAAGCAGTCCTAGAAGTAGTCTATGGATATGCCCAGCCATAAAGAAAATCACAGTATGAGCTGATTCACATTTTCCGGAAATCACAAACAACTGTCTTGGTCACGAGCTCGAATTTTAAGCTTAACAGCAGGAGGAAGAAAACATGAGGTATGCTTTGATCCTGCTGACAAAATGAGGTATTCACACAAGATGCTACTGTCAGAATAGTTTACTTCACAGCAAAGAGAGATTCTTTGAAGAAATATGCTTAAAGTGCAGCATGTACTTACTTTATTTGCAAACAAAAATAAATCTTTTTATACATACAGGTGGAAAATCGAACTCTAGAAGCCCCTCCTGAAGGAACAGTAAATGTGTTTGTCAAAACAGAGGGAACCCGACAAGCCTATGTAAAGTGGGAAGCACCTTTTTCCCCTAATGGATGCTTAATGTACTCAGTGCTTTTTACTGGAATTTTTTATGCAGATCAAGGTAATTTGTTTGTAACTTTAAGATGTTAAATAATATTAAAAAGCAATTTATTTTCTTTTGAAATCTTTGTTTTAGCCACAGATTTTATTTTTTTTTTTTCTATCTGCCTTAAAAATAATCTGTGTGGAAGAGCTAGTGCAGCAGTTCTCAAAATGTGGTGTGCAGACTAGCTGTTCAAAGTTTTATCTGAGAAATCATTGGCAGTTACATTCTCAGGCCCTCTCCAGACCGAAAGAATCAGAAACTTTGAAGGTGAGGCCCAGAAAACTGTGTTTTAACAAACTAACCAAGTGATTCTGATGCACACTCTTAAGTCTGAGAACTACTGTGGTATATTGTCTATGTTCTTTCCCTCTTGCTTAATAAAGTGACTGGAGCCTCCAGTTGGTGCAAATGGTTAATGCGCTCTGCTGCTAACTGAAAGGCTGGAGGTTTGAGTCCACACAGCTGTCCCTGGGCTACAAATGTCCCGACTGACGTATAACCCATAGTTATGAAACAGGGCTTTGAACCAGTTTGAATCAGTTCAATCATGCCCAAAGACACTAAATCAAACAGGTCCAAATTTTTAAAATTTAGGTAATCCAGAACAAGCACTGGAATGGAAAATACTACAACTTGAAACCCTGGAATGAGAGACTAAGAGGTGTAGTGGGCCCTTTCTGGAGAAATAAGATGCAGGAGATGGGTTATTGGCAGGACTGTGGGTAGCTACTCACAGTCAAAGAAACATGGTCACCCACTATCTTTAAGCAGGGCACTGATTCTGACTTCTCAAAATGCAACAGGTGAGAGATTTGGTTGCTATGCAAGGCACATGCTGCTCTTGTTTTCTAAAAAGAAGGTTAAGTTTCTGCAGGGCTTCAATCCATAATTTTATCCATCCATGTTACTGTTCCAGTGCCCCCATATTTTAAAAGTTCAAGTGTTTCGGTTTCACTTCCTTGCCCATAAAGCCTATTGTATTAAAAATTCGAGATACAATGATAAAAGGTAAAAATGGTTCATAATAATAAGTGGGTGCTACTTTGTGATGTGCATCAAAATAATATTATTATTACTGTATTATTATGTCAAAGATGTTTTCATGTATCTGGAAGTGTTTGTTAAATGTTTTTTATA